CATTCTCCAAAGAGGATGTACACATGAAAGTAAATATGCACCCAAAAAATCAATATATCTCATAGGGAAATGGCTCAAATTACTGAAAAATTAAAACTATAGTTAGACATCAGAAGGACTGAAACTATAAGTAGTGATAGCACCAAAAACTTGTTAGGGTGAAGAGAAACTGAATGACTCTTACACTAATAGTGGGAATATAAAATAGTACATTATTCTGGAAAACAGTTTAGCAGTTTCTTAGGAAACTAAATATACAACTACCATATGACCCACAAATTATATTCCTGGGCATTTATCCCATAGAAATGAATATTTATGTTCACACAAAACTCATGCATGCATATTTCTAGCAGCTTTATTCATAATAGCCCCAAACTGGAAATAATCAAGATACCCTTCAACAAGTAATAGTTAAATAAACTCTGGTGTATATATATCTTGGAATAATACTCAATAATAAAATGGAACAAACTGTTGCTATAACAACTTGGATAGCTCAGTAGAGAAAGATGTTGAATGTAACAAGTCAATCCTGAAGGTTTCACATTTTGATTTCATTTATTTATCATTATTGAAATAAGAAAACTTTTTAAATAGAGGATAAGTATTGATATAGCCTTTGTCGCTCTGTTGTAATCATCATGTATGCCCATCTCCCCTCTTTCAGCAGCTCTTGTTAAAATTGTAATTCTCTTTTCATTCAGCTCTTGAAATTCAGAGTCTTACAGAAAGTTAGGGGTAACTCCCTTTTTCTGGTCTAAGCCAAAAAAATACTTTTAAAATAAGAAACGAGGCAAGAAGGTCTAGACACCAAAGGTTTCATAGAACAAAATAATACTGTGCTTTACTTTTATTCTACGCAAAGCAATGTTATAAAGCAATAAGATGGTCTGATATGGATTCAGAATATCCTGTGCCAGTGATTTTTTTTCTTTTATGTTTCTTTATTGATTTTTTTTTCCATATATGAAGCAGATCTAGTCTCTGACTCATTCTGGGAAGCAGACACCAAGGGCTTTGCCAGGCTCCTTGCTCCAGGACCCTGCTTCTGCATGTCTATTTTTTTTTACAGAATTTCTTGGAAGACACAATTAGCAATGTGGCATCCAGGCACAATTTTATTACTGTTTTCAGGGAGGCTTCCCAGGTGGGTTCTTGCTATCCTTCACAGCAGTATTAAAGAAAAAGCTAGTATATCTTGGCAATGCAATTTTTCACAGAATCTTTACAAGAATCCAAGTTCCATTTTGTCAGTAATGGAAGTATATATCTTCTGCCAAAAGCATCATATTTGTACTTTTATTGGCATTGTTAACTTTATAGACTGGTTTAGGGAGAATTGACACGTTTTATTTATGTTGCATTATCCTATGTACTTGAATATTACTTAGATGACAATGATTTTATCTGTTTTGTTTAATGCTTTACCTCCAGTATCTAGAATGTTGCCAGGCACAAAGGAAGTACACAGTTTTTAAGATGAATGAGTATCTTTCCATTCATTCCAATTTAAAGTAATATACATCAGAAGTTCTTTGAGTTTTCTTCTATAGATCTTGCACATTTTTCTTGGGATTGTCTCTTTTGGCTATGGAGAAATATTCTAGGATAACTTCTAACTGGCTGTTGTTTGGTTATATAAAGGCTATGTGTACATTATTATATACATATTGTGTAGCTGTCTTTGTTACTGACTTTTTAATTTGTTTGTGAAACTTTTTTATAATTCTCTTGCTTTCACCAAGCACCATTGTTATTTAAAACTTTCTGGAGTTGAGTAATTAAAAAGCTTGAATTACAAACCCAAAGAAAAACAGCAAACATCTAAATCTCATTATACCAGTGAGATTCTTGTTGGTTACATTGAGTAAGTAGGGGTACAGATGTAAACCTGTGATTTTTTTCTAAGATAATTAAATATAATGATTAAGGAAACCATCAAATCCAGAACCATCTCATTCCTTGCCAGTTGGGCATCATCTGTTCCCTGTGCTGCTGGCTAATTTGAAGAAACTGTAATGTTTGCTATGAGGTCCTCTTCATTTACAGGGGGATATTTGCAATTTAAATTACAAAAGAAAGAAATTGTCAGTACATATCGATTCGCCCAAGATCCCCTCTTTTACTTCAGTGTTTGTTCAGTAAGCCTTATATAAGTGAACTCATGAAATAAATGCATCTGTCTTCATTTCTCTTTTCCATGAGATCATTATGCAAACATTAAACATCGAAAAAAAGACATAAAATGATTGATTACTTGAATAAAGAATGTAGGTTATCAAAAAACAAGCTCCGGAAACAGGTTCCTTCCTCTCCAGACCTCTTCTTCTTTCCCATCCCTTTTGGAAACACCTGTTTAGTCAATTCCTTCAGGACAAAAGATACTTATTGACAGATATAATTCCTGGGATTCAGCACATTTTCTTGCAACAATTTTCTATCTTTACTCTCGAGCTTTGTCTAATTTATATTCCTCCTTTGGTCTGCCCTGCTCGCTAATCCTGATCAATAAGGAGAGCAGATTAGTCAGAAGACAAAACTGGGAAATAGCTTTGCATTTAGAACCTCAAGCCTTCAATTTACATTGCTTCCAGGATGATCTCCTCTGTGTCTGTTTTCCTCTCAACCCACACTGGGCCAAGTGGTCTGTGACTTTGCCTTTCTGACTGGGCTGTAAGCATCTTGAGGATAATGGCCTCAACTTTTTCCATGTTTGAGTTTCACTGTTTGACACATAGTAGGCATTCAATAACTTATTGACTTGATAAGTGTACAAATTACTTAATTAAGCAGGGCATTAAATGTTTCTTTTCTTTATTAAAACTAGCTCTTGGAAAATATTTGAAATATTTTTAAATGAGAAGGTACCATAACTGGCTATTACCAGTTTAAAAGGTAGACAGACTAATGGATTTTTATTTTAAAGAATAAATTAAACTAAAGGTATTGAGTTTTTCTAGATATTTGCGATTCAGCAGAAACCTGGAAAGGGCCTAGGTTCCTTCTAACGAAAAGAACACTGTTCTTCTCCCACAAGACTGCACTCCCATGTAGTGGAGTCCCATTTTATGCACAAAGCATGTCCTTAAAAACCTGAGTAGGAAAAAAGATTTTATTAGTCAAATATTATTTCTCACATGCCTGGTGTTGCTCCATCATAATTGCTTCTTTGTGAATTCTGGACTATCTTAAGATGGATTTCTAACTCTTCAAATAAAGATCTATAATCAAATGTTTAAATACACAGGCTCACACTGCATATTTAAAGGAGATCCAAAGAATTCTTTTGGGAAAAGTTGTCAGGCACCTTACATTTCTCTGATACAAACAGTTACCATCTACTATGCCATCTTGGTTGCTTTAATTATTAATTTTAAAAATAATTTACACCTTGCCTTCTACTAACCGGAATTTAATAGGGTTCATTTATAAGGTCATCTCATCAAGTATCAGTTTGTCCCATGTAGATTTCTACGGTAGGTATGAGAGGTTTTTGTTTTTGTTTTTGTATTAAGGGGGCACTGGTGAAAATGTGATGGATTTGGTTACAAATGTTTCTGGTAGGTGATATAAAAGGGCCCATACATTCAGGCACTTGGCAAGAATTTTGATTGTTAAGCTTTAATTCTTATGTGGCCTCTCACACAAAATGTAATGAATAGAACTAATATTATACACACTCCCAGCCTCTTCCTTTGCTTCTGCCTTAAAGGGCAGTAACAACTCATGTAGGCAGTACATGAGACTGCCATGAAAAAGCAAGCTTCCAAAAGTGGTATGCCAGGGTGCTAAAATCACAGGGCTTGGCAATCCTCCCAGACCTACATGGAATGACATTTTCCACTTTTCTCAGGAAATTAGTAGTCTCCTACCCTTACTTTCTTTCCCCAAGTGCTCTGTTCTTATCCCTAGATCAGAAGACAGGTCATTTCTTTCTCTAAAATGATTTGACGTTTTCATTGCCTGGTGAGATAATGTAACAGCCACAAAAATTCATGGAGATTTTTGAAATTATACTTATATGAAATTAGAGAAAGGGCAGAGATGTGCATAATTTTTTATTATGATTTGAACTTGAGAAGGCAGATCTATTCCTACATGTTAAAATGAGTATCTTTGGTGTTCTGGAAACGTATAACCCTGATTTGGGGAGAATCAGGAAAGCCATTCAGTTTCCCCTTCCACATCAAGAAAGTATTCAAGTAAGTGACGGATGGTAACATTTCAGGGAATTCTAAAGCAGTATTTATCATAATTAGCCTCTAGGTACATAAATACGGGCTTATTTTTATCAAAAGACTTGTATTCCCTTCTGGTATATAAACATTATTCCCACAAGATCTATGAGATTTTAAACTTTTGTTGCTTAGCGAATTAAAAATGTACAGTGGTTACCTAGAAATTTTGAGGATCAACTCTGCCTTGCTGTACTACGATATTCTCTGCAAGAAGTGATACCAGTTGTTACATGAGCTATTGTACTTTGTTTTTGAAAGTCAGAAAAGTCAAGTCAAAAATATTTTGCTTGAACCTATGGAAAGCATTTTTCTCCTGTAGTTGGCTTCCTGAGCTGAAATGTACCATGAACTTGGAGTCTACCACTGCATTATATACATGTATATTGTTATTCTAACTCCTTTTCTGACAACTTTCAGTTGTTCTATTTAGAGTTACAAGAAGAGAAACTAGAAAAACAGTCATGAGGGAATGGCATAAAACAAAGCATAAATAAGTTGATACTTAAGACTAGTACATAAGACAGTTTGGACTATTTATTGTCAAACTAAACTGAACTGCCTCATTTGGGCTCTTTCTGTCACCTCCCATGGAATGTTTGCCTCAGTATTATTTGCATGCACACTCTTATAAGATACTCAGCAAATCACCAAGGAAGGGGACCACAGATGTCTTTCCTCATAGGAGAAGTCTCTTAACCACACAAAACAACATCTGTAACTCTATTCTCGATCAATAAGGCAAATGCTTTTCTTTTGCAGAGGAATTTAAGGGCTCCACCATCGTTGAATTGATGAAGAAGGAAGGCACCACCCTGGGTCTGACAGTATCAGGAGGAATTGATAAGGATGGCAAACCAAGAGTGTCTAATCTGCGGCAAGGAGGAATTGCTGCTAGGTAACTGCCTCTGGGGTGGGGAGTAGAAGAAGGAACACAGGGTGTAATTAATTCAAGAATTAAAGCTTTATCAGAAAAGGTCACTAATAAATAAATGACAGCTGCCATCTGGTGGGCAGCACTTCGTAGCAGAAACACAGTGGGGCATGTTTCCGAAGCTGCTCCACAGGCTGTTCCACGCTGCCTGTGTCTGTGCTAGCCTATGCTGAAATCACTAGGGAGATTTTTGTGTCATCTCCAGGGCAGCCAAGCTGTCCTAAGGTTCTCATTTTAACCCCCTTGTATGAATTTAGATTCCAGTGTGCCACTGAGCAGTCCAGGAGCTGCAGTGGGAATGAGACACTCAGTCTAAGTGCAAAGTAGATAACCAGTATGATGTGTCGGGGGAAACTGTACAGAGGAAAATGGCTAGCCAAAGATGAATGGGAGGGCCAACTCCAATTTTCTAAGTAAAAATTTGCTTTTCTTCTCGTGAGACTTTCCTTTTCACCAAGACCAAGATAGAGTTTTGAAATAAAACAGCTTCGGCTAGGAGTTCTCACTTTGTCCTACAAGTGGTTGTCAAAGACAGTATGTCCTGGATGTTGGGCAGTGGCAGGCTTGCTTTATAAATGTTCTAAATCTACCTCAGAAAGAGGAGACAGAATTATCTGGTTTCATTACAAGTGATATTAATGTTTACTAAATCCCTGGTACCAATATTCTTGTCCACATAATTCCAAGTTAAGTTTTAGCATTGTTGCCTTACAGTGTGTCATCTGAAATGGTGATTACTTTTGATAATCAAAAGTTATTTGATTATTTTTATAATTTATAAGCTTAATCCAGCTGATAACTCTGTGATCAGAGGGTGCTGTTTGTAAAACTCTTATGTGAACCCAAGCCTCTTAATTTGCCTCCTTCAGGTTTTTAAAAATTCCACCCCATCTCTCCCCAACCTGAGCTTCCTTTATTTTATACTAGTAATTGCCACTCCAATGATGGTAAGTCTTCCTCTGTCTCCTGAGTTCCTCCGTGTCTAGCTCACACAAGGAGGAAAATGCCATTGGCAGTTGTAGTACTGCCATAATTAAATGTAGCACCATACCAGTTATACTGAGCATTAAAAATCACCAAATAGTCATTGTTTAAGGCATTACCATTTTATTCATAGTAATAAAAACAAAAGGTCCCTTCCCTTAAGCAGCTTACACCCTATTAGGGGAGATAAAATATAAAAAACATGAAAAGTTTGGAACCAAAGTGACATTGCCTAGCAATAAAAAGCAACAATACAGGAGTTCACAGGGAGCATTAGGTGGCTGGGCTGGCATGAGTATTAGTCCAGTGAGGGAAAAGTGACAGCATGTGCTAAAGACCAGCGCTGATTAGAAACGCTGTCTTAGGAGCAAGGATAGAAACTGGATTTACTTGGAAAACATATTGTTATTCCTATTGGGAGAAAATGTTATTGAAGTTCTTTATCTAATTTGGGGTCCTTATCCCCAAATTTTTACTCATATCATTGATCTCACTGCCCACTCTTAGTTTAGAAGTCAAGTTTGACTAAAAGCCCTAGAGCAGCCAAAGTTCTACTGTGGTGATAAAGAGAGATGAGAACGTTACTGAAATCTGGTTCTTCTCTTGTAATTTAATTTTCCCCAATACACTTATTATCAGTCTTGCTAACTAATAAATAATAACAAGGGCTAGGGATTTAGCTCAGTAGTTCCACTGCCTGCCTCATAAGCAGAAGGACCCGAGTCCAAACCTCAGTACCAAAAAAAAAAATCTAGTAAATAATAACAATAAAAATGTAAGCAATAAATAGCAAGATACTATGACCTTTTTCTTGGCCCTGGACAGTTTCCCAGTGAAGATACTGAAAGCTGTGAAATGTCCAAAAGCATACACCAGAAGTGAGAAGGAAGGAAAAGACCTGGAGTATGTAGGATCTAGATCCTTCCCCAAACACTATAGGACTGAGCAGCTTAATAAATGTTTCTCTTTATTTTGTTTTCTGGTGCTTTTAAAAATTAGGCAAAGATTAGAGGGAAAATCAGAGCAAGACTTCTACAGTGTAGCAGGCACAGATGAACCCACTGAATCTCCTCTGTACTTGCTATACTCTATCTCTTAGTGACCAAGAGACAGGGATTTCATTATGTCTGCCTTCTAATTTTGCTTATTCAAAAGGGACAGATGGAAAATATATGTAGGCTGGCCTGTAGACAGTATGTTCACCAAAGCGACATCTTCTCTATTGCAGAAGTGACCAGCTGGATGTGGGCGACTATATCAAAGCTGTGAATGGGATCAACCTGGCCAAATTCCGCCATGATGAGATCATTAGCTTGCTGAAGAATGTTGGGGAAAGAGTGGTTCTTGAAGTGGAGTATGAGCTTCCACCTGTCTGTGAGTAACCACAAGCCAGGGGAAGAATAGTTGTATGATGTTGTGTCCTAAAGATATTGAATTATTTTTTCCCTTTTGCCATCAGTGTCTCCTTTCAGCAATGGCTGAAAGTTGTTTAAAAAATTATTTGAAGGTCCATCCCGCTACTCCCAGCCCAGAGGAAGGGGCTTTTGAGCTGCTGTCCCACCTCTCCCAGCTCAGAGGAGGTGAGCCGTGTGGGCACCAACAACACTCCCCCACACTCCCAGGGTCAAAATGAGAAGACATGTAAATAAGTCTCAAAACCAGACTTCCAGATCACCTACAGCAACCCCAAAGGGAAATGAGATGGAACACTCTGATACTCAACCACCCGGACCCACT